CCACCAGCCAGGGGGGCCACCCGCACCTGACCGCCATCCAAGGGGGGGGCCACCCACACCTGACCACCAGCCAGGGGGGCCACCCGCACCTGACCACCATCCAAGGGGGGGGCCACCCACACCTGACCACCAGCCGGGGGGCCACCCGCACCTGACCACCATCCAAGGGGGGGGCCACCCGCACCTGACCACCAGCCGGGGGGCCACCCGCACCTGACCGCCAGCCAAGGGGGGGGCCACCCGCACCTGACCACCAGCCAGGGGGGCCACCCGCACCTGACCGCCAGCCAAGGGGGGGGCCACCCGCACCTGACCACCAGCCGGGGGGGCCACCCACACCTGGCCATCAGCCAAGGGGGGCCAGCCACACCTGACCACTGACCCAAGGGTCCATACTACCAGACCAACAGTTGAGGGGTGGGACCTGTGGGACTCCTGCTGGCGAGGACCCTTCCCCATGCCACCTGGACTTTCCTCACCTTTTCCCCCACACACCCACTGCCCATCCCCACCCCACGCCCTCACCCCTTACCACTTACCCTTAGCCCCAACCCTGTACCCTCACCTCTTCTCCTCATCCCCTGCCCTGTGCCTCCACCACATGCCCTGCCCCCTCGCTGTGCTCATACTGCATGCCCTGACCCACCCCCTCCCGTCTGCCGTGCCCTAACCCTTCGCCCACACCACGCCCCTGTGGCCATTCTCCTGCCCGCCCCAGGCGACCCTGCAGTTCTGCATCGTCAAGCCTGCCATGGCCGCTCTCACCATCATCCTGCAGGCTTTCGGCAAATACCATGATGGGGACTTCAGGTAAGGCTGGGGGGCTGGCACTGACAGCTGGTTGGGGCTGGAAACAGGCAGTGGGACCAGCCGCCTGACAAGTCTGTCCCCCAGCGTCCACAGCGGCTACCTGTACATCACACTGGTGTACAACCTATCGGTCAGCCTGGCCCTCTATGCGCTCGTCCTCTTCTATGCGGCCACCCGCCAGCTGCTACAGCCCTTTGAGCCAGTACTCAAGTTCCTCACCATCAAGGCTGTCATCTTCCTGTCCTTCTGGCAAGGTGGGCAGCCAGGACCTTCACCGGGGACCCCTGCCTGGGACCCCCACCCGAGACCCTCGCCCACCACCCTTGCCTGGGACCCCCACCCAGGAGCCTCGCCTGCCACCCTCGCCCGTGACCCTCGCCCACAACCCTCACCTGCCACCCCCACCCGCGATCCCCGCCCATGACCCTCGCCCGGGACATGGCCCTTGTGCTCCTGGGCAGGGATCCACACACGGCCCGTTCCACACAGGCAGTTTAGGAGCCAGCAGGGGTCCCGGTCCTCTCTGTGACCCTCAGCTCCCCTCCCCATGTCTGAGTGAGGCGAGTGCCGCCACCCTAGGGCAGCCTGGAGAAGCCTCAGTCCAGCATTTGCGGGGATGTACTGGCTTCTCTGTGGGGGTGCAGCCAGGCAAGGCCTTGCTGGGGTCAGACACCTCTGAGCACCCACTTTCCCAGGGCTGCTGCTGGCCATCTTGGAGAAGTGTGAGGTCATTCCCGAGGCGCAGACCATTGATGGAAGCAGGGTAGGTGCAGGCACGGTGGCCGCTGGCTACCAAAACTTCATCATCTGCATCGAGATGTTCTTTGCCTCCGTGGCGCTGCGCTGTGCCTTCACCTGCCAGGTGTATGCGGAGAAGGAGGAGCACTCTCCAGGTGTGGCGGCCTGGGGTGGGGCGGCAGGGCATGTGCTGAGGGGAGGGCCCCCTGTGACGAAGGAAGGGAGCCACATAGTGGGGGACAGTCACTCCCTCCTCAGCCAAAGCCCCACCTGATGGAGCCCAGGCAACACCCACTAGATGGGCAGATGACCCTCCCAGGATGTCCCAGCACTGGAGTGTGGCCATGGGGCAGGTATCCCATCCACCTGGGCAGCCAGCAAAGCCTGGGTCCTCAGTGAGGAGGGGTTAGAAGACGAGGGTGCCCCTCCCAGCACTGCCTAGCCTCCAGGGTCTGCCAGCTAGGTGGGGCTGAGGGCAGCCAGTGCCTGGGGCTCAGGCCACCCCATGTGCAGGGGGCCTCCGAGTCCTGGTGTGTAAACAGGTGGGGCAGAGGCCGAGTGAGGTCGTGGCTGACCTCCATCCACCCGGCCCCAGCACCTCCAGCTCCCATGCTGAGCATCTCGAGCGGCCTCAAGGAGACCATGAGCCCCCAGGACATCGTGCAGGATGCCATCCACAACTTCTCACCCGCCTACCAGCAATACACCCAGCAAGCCACGCAGGAGGTCCCGGGGCCTGGCCCCCACACTGGGCTGGCCAGTGGGGGCGGGAGGGGTCGCAGCCTGGAGGAGAGGATGCTGATCGTGGACGACGAATTGTAGGGTCCAGCACATTCCTGCCAGAGCTTCCTCCAGGGCAGCCTCCAGCTAGGGACCCGGGATGGATGCCTTCCTGCCGAGCCTCTGGCCGTGGACCACAGTGTGCCCGCAGCTGGCCTGGCCCTTTGTCCCCTCAGCTGCAGAGGAGCGGGGGTGGCTGTCTCAGTGTGACGGGAGCATACCGACAGACACAATGTTGGCTGGGCAGCTTTGGAGGACAGAAGGGAGGGTGCAGGAGCCGACGGCCCAACTGCACTGCACACTCGGGGACCCTGGTGGCCCCCATTCAGGGAAGGCGCCTTCTCGAAGCCAGGGCAGTGCTTCCCAGGAGCCTTGAGGATTTATAGATGAACTTCCTGGTTTGTTATTGTATGACTTCCATGCCTGCAAGACTCTCCCTCAAGCACCAGGGCTCTGGGGTGTCGAGAGGCCCCCAGGACTGGGCGGCGGGAGGGATATGGAGGGTTGACAGCCAGGTGCTGCCCCACTGAACAGGTCAAAGGGCACCAACTTTGAGATTGGAGCACCTGGCCAGATGCCACCTTGAGGCCTTGGGCACCTGCCCCACCTGGGCCTCAGTTCCACCTACATGACACTATTGGAACCCAGGCAGGAAGTTGTCTTTCCCCCCTCCCATCTCACTGGGTCTCCTTGTGTTGGGGGCTGAAGGAGGGAGCTGGGGGACCTCCTGTCCTGTGGGTCTGGGATGAGGGCACCACATCAGAGCAGCGTAGGCAGGGACCTGGGGACAGGGCCTTTTCCCCATGGCCTCTGGCCTCGGGAAAGGAGGGTCTCTGGGGTAATTAGCTGGGCTGCGCCTGAGTTCTAGGACAGGGACTCAAGGCCCGCAGCCTCTGATGGCTGTGCATCATTGCCTCCGCTCACCCTGGTACCCTGCCCTCCACAGCAGGCAGTCCCCCAAGTAGACATCTGGTGCCCTCACCACCCCACCCAGGCAGCAGGAAGCTGAGGAGCAGCCCAGTACATCCCAGCACCCAACAACGGCGTTCTGGGGTCCCAGAAGCAGATGGGAGCCTGGGGCCTGCCTGACCTTGCCCCTGCCCAAGAGGACCACTCCTACACAGATATGGGTGGGAATCCCTTTGCTGGGTGAGGGAGGGCTGGACACTGGGGCACACATCTACTCTGCTGTGTGTCAAGGAAAGCCTGACACCCCCCACAGTGGATCTGGTAGCCCTCACGCTAATCCTGGGGTGTCCACAGGTGACCAGCCAATGGGTGACTAAGCCAGCCACCCCCCAGCTGAGCTCCTCATGGGCAGACACCTCTCCTGTCCTTCCAGTTTCTGTCCATGTAAGGCCACCAGGATTGATGACAACCAAGGATGAGGTCCCCCCAGCTGCCCTGCCCTTGGTGAAGGACACACATCTGGGGTAGAAGTATCCGCTCCTGTGGAGTGATGCAACTAAGCATGACTTGGCATTCCCGTTTGCAAAATGGCCCAGTGCACAGGCAGCCCCAACCACACAGCGAGAGGCTCTGAAACCAGATCTTTATTGCAAAGATACAAAAGCGGTCACAGCAGCAGATGTACAGCAATAAATTAGGTGGTGGTGGTGAGATAAAGGGGGCCCCGCTGACCAGGCTCCCAGCACAGTCAGCTTGCAATAACTTAGGAAAAAAGGCAGCATGAAAATAAATATTGAAATGGTATCACTGCACAGCCATGGGAGCTGGGGCAAAGAGGTGCCAAGTGGACTCGTGGGACTGGAGAGCCATGACCTCTTACAAAACGGACACCTCTAAATGGGGGACCCTGGGGTTGAAGCTCAAGAGACGACGGAGGTGGACTTACATTACAAAGAGGCCACTGCTTTTGTTCTTAAAATTTTAAAAAGCCATATATTAAAATTGTGACAGTGACATCCCAGTGACTGCAAGGAAAGCCGGGTGCTTGGTGGGGTCCAGCCATGCCCGCCCCTGGGCTGCCAACTTTCTGGGGTGCAGTCTGGGCCTCCCCATCTCCCCAGCCACATCAGGGATCGGGCCCCCTGGTGGCAATAGCAGCTCCCCGTCCCCAGCACCAGCACCCTCCCCAGCAGAGGGGTTGACCCTCCGGAGCACACACTCCTCCTAGCCTCCTCCCGCCCAAGGCACAGGGGAGGGGTGCAGAGGGCCACATTTGATCTCTGCTGAAAAGCCAGCGCCTCTCCACTAGACTTACAGTATCAAACTTGAAAAAAAAAACTTTATGAAAAAATCCATGATAAAACATGTATATAATTTTAATATATATATCTTTCTCTCTTTAAATATTTCCATGGTCCTTACTGATATCCAATATGGATTACCTACCATGGCTATGGCAATAAACAGCTTTGGGGGGGGGGTGCACGTGTGCCCACTTGCGTGCAAGTGCAAAGCCCCAGACCTTCCTACTGCAGAAAAGTGACCCTGTGACCACAGCCAGCAATGCCTCCGGCCCTTCCTCTAGGACTGGGCATTTTCCCACGGTGGCCAATCACAGCCTGTGAGGTCACCTCCCTTTTAGGGGTCACCACCTCTTCAGGGGCCTGGCCACTCCAAGGGGTCTTATGTGGTGGTGGCAGGACAAGGCTGGCTGAGTTGTGGAGGGGAGGCCAGAGCCCAGGTCCCACTGCTTGTCCTCTAGTGGCGGCCGGCCTGCGGTGACTGGGCACTGGCCTACCTCTATGCCCCACACAGGCTCTAAAGCCCTTGCCAGGCAGCACCAAGCCAGGCGTAGGCACTGGGGGGTCTCTGGAGTGCCCCAGCTGGGAAGGGAAGCTGGGATGGGTCTGGTACCTGCTGGGAGCTCTGCCTGGAAGGATGCGGGGTCAAGGCTTCAGCAAAGATTAAGCACCAAATCACTGTTCTCTGTCCTGTCCACCAACTGGAGGTCAGGGTCACACCCGCCAAGACCACCAGGAAGAGTCCCCTGCCACTTCTCCACTACAAACTGCAGCACGTCCCCAAACCCTTCCCATTTCACACGGTCACAGCATGCCATGGCTTCTCTGCAGCAGCCACTCATACGCACGCCCCTAGGCTCCGGCTCACGCACTGCGGCTCCTCCAGGACCACCAGGACTATGTCTCCACCAGGCGCAAGCTCCCACAACCTCCTCCTCACTGCCCTCCCTCTTCCAGCCCACAGTGGCCAAGTCTGGTGCCCTCACTCTCACACTGAGGGGCTCAGCGCCCTGATACTCAGGACCCCAAGATGAACACGCTAGCCTCCTGCCCACGGAGCTCCCTCCCAGGACACACACAGGTGCGGGGATCTCCCCATCCAGCTAAGGGCCCCAGTGATCACCGCAAGGCCCTGAGGCGTCCCAAGGGTCCCTGGCATGAGAGGGGCTGTGCTATCCTCCATTCAAAGTACAGATCACAGGGAGGGGTCTCTGGCATGTGTGGGGAGGTTGGGGGGGGCACAGGTGCTCGCAGGTGGGAAGACAATGGAACCCTGGGTCTGCCGTAGATACCTGCCTGCTGTCAGCTCTCCCTCCCGGACAGGTACTGCACTGGCGTGGGCACTTACAAACCCTATCTAACGTATCCTAGAGGTGTTGTGTGCCAGACAGACCCCAAGAAGACACATTTCCTGGGAAGCAGTGACAGTGGGGCCCAGCAGTGTGTGTGGGCACGTGGGCGAGCACATGCCAGTATACAGGCGCAGAGGGCAGGCCACACGCCAGTCCACAGGGCCTGGCCTCTGCCCCACCGACAACACTTGCCTGGCATACAGTCCCTCTGGGGCACTGCCCGCTGCCACAAGCCCCCTTGGAGCCAGGCCGGACTCTAGGATGCGGCCGAGAAGGGCACAGACGGCGTGGCCAGCTCGGCGGACTTGACGATGGTGATGACGCTGGTGGTGGCCACCTTGGAGGGCACCACGGGGCCGCGCGCCACGGTGCGGGCGAAGGTCTGCAGGGCGTCGTACTTGGCGCGCAGGGCGTCCAGCTCCAGGCGCATGCTGCTGTTCTCGCGCGCCAGCTTCTCCACCTCCTGCTGCAGCTCCACGCGCTGCCGCTCCAGCTCCTCCTTCTGCGTCACGCGCTTGATGCGGCAGCTGGCGGCATAGCCGCGGTTTTTGAGCGTGCGCCTGCGCTGCTTCAGCCGCGTCACCTCCTCCTTGGTGAGGCCGCGCAGGTGCTGGTTCAGCTCGCGCACCGACATGCTCACCAGCTCGTCATCGCTCAGCACCGGCGCGTTCTCGCCCGCCTCCTTCTTGACCTGCGGGAGCACACGGTCAGCGCGTGGGCAGGGCTGGGGGACATCGGGTGGAGGCAGGGGTCACCTGAAAGTCCTCACAGGGTGAGCAGGGGCGTGCACTCGGAGTTCTGCTGAGCCGGCGGGGCCTATGGGTTACCTGCGGGTCAGCATGGAGGGTGGGTGGGGCAGGGGAGGCTTGGGGGTTTCAAGGTGTTTGTGACAGCAGGGAGCCCCCCACCCTGGCTCCTCAAGGCCAGGCTTCAGTGAAGGGAAGAGACTTCAGCGTCCCAGGCTGGCCCACAGCCTCCACTGCCATCTTCTGAACAACGGGACGGACTCCTGGGTGGCTGCACTCCCCTCTAGCTGATGCAGGCTGTTGATCTGGACCCAGCTGTCCCCTGCCTTCCCCACCACGGGCTCAGGGGCAGAGCCCCCGACACGGAGACAGGCCATCTGCTGGCCCTAGCTCTTGTCTGCTGCAGCAGAGGGCCCAGGGTGGTGGTAGTTTGGGGTGCCTCACCCCCAGCAAAGTGGCTTTGGGGGATAGGGACCTCCTCTCACTCCTGGACATATGTAGCTTCATCCATGCACACTCTCCTGGAAATCAGCTCCCGAGGTCGCCCACCTCGCCCCGATGTCTCCCACCTCGCCCCGATGTCTCCCACCTCGCCCCAAACCCACCTCGCCCCGATGTCTCCCACCTCGCCCCGATGTCTCCCACCTTGCCCCGATGTCTCCCACCTCGCCCCAAACCTGCCTCCTCGCCCTGATGTCACCCACCTCTCCCTGATCACCCACCTCGCCCCAATC